CATCCAAAGGTGGGTTCAAAATAAAAAACACATGCGCAATGCCCTTTAAGCTCTCCCGCCTTCTCTATATGGACGATATAAAGCTGTACGCAGGATAACAGACAGTAGATATATAGAAGTATTGGACACTGACAATACCTTCAATAGCTAGGTATTATGCAAAGTGGTGTTTCCGATTGCTGAGGATGTTGGAGGAGCTCTAACTAAGTGAAAAGTTTTTGAGCAAACAAAAATCAATAGTTTATATTTAGATATTGAATTGTAAATATTTGTAAATAATTTGTAAAATAATATAGCAATTGTTTTATATATCTTGCTGTAAACCACCGATATGTGATATGTAACTTGAAAAGTGGTAAAATAAAAAGAAATCAAATGAAAAAAATGAGTTAAAAAAAATTAAATTAAATAAAATCATATTATATAAAATAAACTATTTTAACATTAAATAAAAAATATAATCCAATATGGAGCCTCCCTACCTACCCAAACGTAGTCGCTTCGCTCTGATGACGTCTTCGAGTTATTGGGTTGCCCAAAAAGTAATTGTGGATTTATTAAAAGAAAGTAAATGCATTTTTAATAAAACTTAGAATGAACATTAATCAAATATATAATTGCCATTTTGTTCGATAACCTTTTGCCATCTTCCTGGCAAATTTAGTATTCCACGCTCATAGAACTTCTGGCCTTTATCTGCAAAAAACTGAACCAAGTGCGATTTTATAGCCTCATCATTGCCGAAAGTTTAACATTTAAGGAGGTTCTGCAAAGATCGAAAGATGATGCAAGGTCAGGGCTATATGGTGGATGCATCAAAAGTTCCCAGCCAAACTCACTCAGTTTTTGGCGAGTGACCAAAGATGTTCGCGGTCTAGCGTTGTCCTGCTGGAATATGACACCTTTACGATTGACCAATTCTGGTCGCTGTATTCAATTTGTCCAATTGTTGACAGTAAACATCCGAATTATTCGTTTGGTTCCTTGGAAGCAGCTCAAAATATATGACACCCTTCCAATCCCACCAAACAGACAGCATAACCTTCTTTTGGTGGATATCAGCCTTTGAAGTGGTTTGAGCTGGTTCACCATGCTTGGACCATGATCGTTTTCGTCTAACGTTGTTATAAACAATTCATTTTTCATTTCCAGTTATGATTCGTTTTAAAAACGGATCGAATTCATTGCGTTCAAGGTGCATATCACAAGCGTTGATTCGGTGTGTTAAATGAATTTCTTTCAATACATGTGGTACCCAAATATCAAGCTTTTTCACCAGTCCAAGACTTTTTATGTGATAATGAACGGTTGATTTTGGTATATTTAACTTCCCTCCTATCTCACGCTCAGTTACATGACGATGCAATTCGATTAATGCTTTGATTTGGTCATCATCAACTTCATTTGGCCGACCGGAACGTGGCTCATCTTTAAGTGAAAAATCTCCAGAACGGAATTTGCGAAACCAATTTTGACTTAGTCTTCCTTTTAAGGCTTCATCACCATACACATCTCGTAACTTTTTAGCAACCTGCTCCGCGTTTTTTCCTTTACGGAAATAATAAAGTAAAATATGACGAAAATGCTCCTTTGTGGGCTCCATATTAAAATTGACGCCAAACAAACAAATGTAAACGAAATTTCGCAAACTGTTTTTCTAAAGCAAGCTAAAAGTAACAGCTGATAACTGACAACCCAATATATTTTGTTCAACTATGATGCCCGTTCTGGCTTACTGAGTATGTAAAAAAGTAAACATTTGGGAGGAAGAGAACCCTGAGGAGATTCAAAAGCTGCCATTTTAATCAGAGAAATGACGGTGTGGTGTATTTTGTGGGTCGCTGGAATCATTGGTCAATATTTCTTCAAAAATAGCACCGATAAGAACGTAACCGTCAGTGGCGACTGTTGAAACGCTATCACAACCGCCAAATTGATGCCTGTAATTGCAGCTCGGCGACATTTGGTTTCAAGGGGAAGCCTTTACTACCCACACTCCGTAACAATCATTGGTTTCATTGAGACATCACTTTGGAGATTAGATAATTTCACGTCTTGGGCCGTTGGATCGGTCATCTTGATCATATGATATCGCAGTGTTAGACTTTTTCCTGTAAGGATATGTAAAGTCAAAAACATCATGCGTATCATTCCCCAGTTACCAGTCGAAAGGCTCGTGTAAGTCATCGAAAATTGTACACACCTAGGTGAGGCATAGCCAAGGTCAACATTTGAAGAAGCTAATCTTCAAAAAATGAATGTGAATAAATCCGAATAAAAATAAACTGTCCCCATTAAAATTGAACTTTTTTTGTTTTTTCTTTGAAAAATAGGAAACCTCATTTGAATTTTCACTGCATTAATTTCCAATTTAAGATTTATAATTTATTTCTCGCTTTTCCATTGAATTTGTTTTTTGTATGCTATATAAAATTATTCAGTCCATATTTTTGAGCCAAATGTTTGGATGTAAGCATTTTATATTTGATTTGTATAATAATATTTCATGTAAAATTTCTGACAATCGTACATTATATACACGTGCAGCTGCTTTACTTTTATGAGAAAAATTTGTTGGTGTATAATTCTTTTTTAATGCGCTTTTGTGCGCTTATTGTCGGAAAAATATGCTTTTTAATTACTTACCAATTTCGTTCATGAGTTACAAAACATTTAATTTTTATTTATATGTACAATTTATTTCTATATATTTTTTTTAATGACCAACAAATTTGTTAATTTTTTTTTACAAAGTAAATGCTTAGACACTAAACTTTCTTTACTAGGAATTAATTATAAATTACTTTTTCTGATTTTATTTATCATACATTTTAATTACTTCCCGTATATTTTTATAAATTATTTGGCAGAGATATGTAAATTTTTTTGGTACTTTTAGTAACAAATATGAAGTATATTTTTAATAACTACGCGAACATACCAATATTTACAGTAATTTTTGTGTCGGTATGTAGGTGAGTTTGCGATTTTTTTAAATATACAATTTTTTCTTATTGTTTTTATTTATTTCTATTTATCTAAAGAAATATAATATAATAAATATTCAGTAGATTTTCAATCATACACAGCTTCAAATTATTCACTTAATAAATATTTCTCTTCTATTATTTTTAACTATTACTTGTAAATCACTGAACTCTATTGAATTTCAAATAATACTAACTAATTTAATTTATATTTTTTTTATTTTTTTTTTTTATTTTTTTTTTATTTTTCTTTCAATAAACTCTAAATTATTTCTAAATGGTAGTAGAAAATATTGCAATTTGACACAACAATTTCAATGAATTCATATACATGTGATGCTTAAAGAATGCCAATAAATGATTTTGCAACATAGGGCTCATTAAAGCTGCAACATCAGTCTGGCATTCCCTGGAAAATTCAATAAATTAAACTGATTTGTGTTAATTGCAATAATTAACTTGCAAAGATTTTTACTGAAAGTGTGTGTTGAGAGCTAATTATTTACATACAGAGTAATTTTACCTGAAATAAATAATATATTGAATTACATGTGTGATTTGTGTTATTTAATTAAAGTCTAGGACGTTCATGTAAATAATATTATTTTAATAGTATTTCTTCTAGTAAACATGTATACTTTTTCATTAATTTTTTTTTTTTTTTTTTTTTTTTGAAATACTCGTAAATGATGAATTATTTTTGCACACAAATGTTTGATTTGTAGCCTTACCTGTATGGTTTGATCATGAGTTGGAGCAAAAACTGTTTGCCACTAATATTTTTCCGCTATTTCCAGCCGAATATGCGCGAATTCCGATTTGCAATAAGTCTATTCAGAGGGGAAGACTCATGCCATGCTTTGGATGAAAAGAAAAAATCATTCGAGGGTTGATCAATATTGAACTTTTTTCTTAATACGAAATGAGAACATTAAGTAATGAGACTGATTTTATAAAAACCGTATATTTCAAAATTATTTATCATTCTGCTATCCCTTTCAAAGTAGTCCTCTTGGGCAGCCATACAACGATTAAAACGTTCTTTCGATGTTTCTTAAAATTTCTAAAACGCCCTCGTCACCGCCGCCTGGATGTTCTCAATCGATTCAGAATTTTATTCTAGTTAACAAAAAAAGCCACAGGGCGACATTTCGGACGAATAATGCAGCGACACAGCGATCCATTTGCAGGCCAAATACTGTGACACGCTGAGAGCGGTTTGATAGGGCGCGTTATCGTGATGAAATGCCAGCTTAAATCAAGAGCCTTTATGAAATTAAGGCATATTTATTTGAAAGAAATTCGTGATTTCTAATGGCAAGAAAAAAGACTTATTAACGTACAAAACAAAATACCGTTATATTAATGAAATTTTCAACCAGAAATTTTTAGTGTGGCACATCTTTATACTGACACATACTGATAAAGAAATTAATGAATTCAAAGAAGCATACAGTTATATGTGAATATTTCGCAGAGCCAGACTCACCATATCAGCAAGCTGAGTTTAACTACCGTAAATAATGACATCTGAATTTGTGGGCAAAAATATTTCATCTCTGATTGTTGAAATTATATTAAATAACTTCTTATACTTAAGCATATATCTGCTTTAAAAGGAGAAAGAGAGAGCTTATTACTAGCTAAAGCATAAATTTGTTTTCTAAATATGCCTATATTATTATCTACATATCTAAGTCTTAATAATATTCAATAAATTTCCAAAATATGTATGATTGTGAAAAAATTGCCAACAAATGGCTTAATATACACTATATTATATCAATACTTATGCTCTGTTTAGCTACAGTTTTAACTAATAACCTGAATTCTGTTAAATCTCACAAAGCCTTTAGCTTCCTTCACTGCGCCTAAAAGTATGCTTCACTTGTATTTAAATACTTAATATACAAAATGTAAATATTTTGATGAGCTTGTCGTGACGTACTTTTAACCGCAGTATCACCTGACTCAAGTGAGACTAAAAAATTTGTGAGGTTTAGCAGCAGGGTTTGAGTAATTTCATATACAAACTTGTAAGCCTCATTCGGGGCTTTTCAATATGGTCAACCATTATTATTTAATTTATTTATATACATTTTACTCTTTTCAAATCGTTACAGTGCATATGCATTTATGCAGACTCATACTTAGCGTAATGTGAGATTTACTTTACTTTCAAAATTAATAAATTTGCTATTAATTCAATTTTTTATGTACAAAAATTCTATAATTAGCTAGGCTCTCTTACATCACTGACTAGCTTATCGCTCATCACTAACAAACATTCTCACTTTCACACCTTGCACTTGTACATTAATAGTCTAAACAGAAACCTCTTTGGTATACTTGGAACGATCATTCAAATCGAGTATTAGTTTGTCAGGTCGCTTAGCGCGCCCTGTGCCATTCGCGGCTGTCGCCGCCGATGTTGTACTATTCTCTGCACCAGCATCAGCCTCACACACCACACTCGTGATGAGCTCATCCTTTTTCGTTGAGAAATTTGCTATATTATTCAAAGATTGTGCATTCGCAGTCGCCTCTGCACATTCCGCGCCGCTAGTCGTTACCACCGCCGTCGTCACTATCGACTGTGCCGACGTTGTCGTAGGCCCTGTTGGTCGCGTCGCGCTACCACCGTCTGCGGTGCTGAGAGCAGACACCGAATGGAAGGTGAGCTCACGGCGACTACGCAGGCGACTGCAGGCACCTTCGTCATCGTCATCCGAGCTGTCTTTGCTGTTGCTGCTGCTCTCGTCGGTGGATGTATAGAATATTATGTCATCGGTAGAGTGTACTTTCGGCCGCTGCTTTGCACACGCCGCGTCCCCCATGAGTTCGGTCGTCGTTCGTTTGGGCAATTGACGGTCGAGCAGATCATTGCTGCGTGTTTGACTCACGCACACACGTGCACCTACTAAGCTGCAGCGCTGCACATGCCGCTCGTCACCGCTCTTTATTGCTGCAGCCACTGCTGCGGTTTTGGACGTTGACGTCAGTCTTGGGTTGCGTCCATCTTTCATACTTTTACGGAACTTTCTACCGCCACTCTTATTGCTATTTCGATACTTATTTTTACAATTATCACAAATACGATAGGTTACATCTGCATCGTGATACTCAGCAGACACATCCTGCCAGCTTGGGCTGGGTGTTTTCGTGCGCCCGCTGCGTCGTCTGCTACTGCCGCCTGTAGAGGGTGGCGTATTTGTCGCTGCCGTACGCATGTTAATGCGCCGACGCTGCGGCACATCACAATCCGGTTCGAAATCCAGATCGGGCTGGGAGCACATGCATTCCAATTTGATATTCGAAAAACTAATACTGCCTTCCGGCTGCGGTGAGCCCAGTTGTTGACACGTGACGCCACCAGCACGTCGCCGACAACCACTTGCGGTTTCATGATCCGCTAGACCGTGTGGCGGCGTGAAGGGCCGACAGCTGAAGTAGTGTTCCTTGGATATGACTAAACAGCGCGTGCATATGATGTGGCCTTGCGCACAGCCCAGCGCTTGTTGATGGAAGTCTTCGCTGCGCGTCAAGTCAGTGTTGATGGCACGATCTTCGCGCAATGCTAACATAGACTCTTCAATTGTCGTTGTGCTCGTTTCAACTTCGAGCATAAACGTTCTCCCTGGCGTCGGTTTGGCAGCATTGTTGCTCACCCCACTTAATAGAGGTACATTTGTAGTGACATTGTTGTTTTGTGTTGTCTGCAGTTGTTGATTGTATTTCTCCACTTCGCTGTTGAGCGCAAGTAGAGGAAGTGCGTTACCACCAACAACACCACCACCACCACTGACGTTCGTGGGCGTATTGGCTCCGCCCCCAGGTGTGTATGGTCGGATGGTGAGTTGATTATTAGATGTGGCGGCTTGAGAGGCTGCAGCGGCTACCATAATCATGCCGCCAGGTGTCTTCAGGCCGTCCAAGAGGCTGGAGATTGTCATCACCGCAACACCTTTCGGGGGCGCCATCTCTTGTATACGCTGCAGTTGTACGCTCAGTTGTCGGATCTCTTCAAGTGCCTCCTGTTCAGAGAGTTTAGTGTCTGTTCGGAGTAAGAAAAAGAAATATGAAAATTTGAATTCAGCGTAGTGAAACAATAAAATGACTTGTTTCTTTAAAGTGAGAAATAAAAGAAATTTGATAAAAATACTCAAACATTAATTTCATGAGCTGTCCCATACATGAAGAAGGTGTTTTTTGGCAAAATATAATTCTACATTTTAAAAACAAATTTTGGAGCGTCTTCAAAATATATTTCTAGGTACATAGAACATCAATAAATGACGTCAACATAAAAAAAAGAGCCACTGAGAATAGAACACAAATTAAATTAGAACAGCCCAACACATATCAATTGTTCTCAGACCCATATAAAGTAAGTCAACTGAACTCTATTCCTCTGAACTAAACTTAGTTCAACTAGTCTTAACTCACCTCAATTTAACTTCGTTCGTCCAACCTGAACTGAATTCGTTTTCATATCACAGCTAAACTTCAGAGCCTTGATTTTCTTGCAAATAATACATTTATAAAGAACTTTAGGCCGTACGTCTCGAAATGTGCAAATTTTTAATGGAAATAAGTTAATTATTTCATTTGCCCTGCAGCTGTTTACACAAAATTATTACTCCGGTGTGGGTAATTTTCTACAACCAACGGATATGAAAATATCAAAATATCCAATAAAAGAGAAGGTCTGTAGGGAAATGCACTGGTACATATTTATTCATATTTATTAGGGTGTTTCTTATTTACTTCTAAGCTTTCTATTTATCATTACCTTGCCTGCGATTGTTTTGCGTAACTGTGAGCTAGTTGGTTCCATTTTATTTTATATTTTATTGTATTTTATTTAACCTTTCTTTATGTGTAAAATATATTTTATTTTACCATAAATAATTTTATTTTACTTTATTCTATTTTATCATATTTTTTTAATTTAAGTTTGTGTTATTTAATTTTATTTTAATTTATATTAATTTTTCTTTTTACCATATATTTGGTTTAATTTAATTTAATTTAATTTATTTAAGTCTTTTTTTCATTTTTTTTTTATTTTAATTTATTTAATTAATTTATTTCAAATCATTTTATTTTTTATTTCTATTTTATATTTATTTGTCATATTTTATATTGGTTTGTTTTATTTAATATAATATTATTTTATATTAAATAAATTAAATTTAATTAATTTCAATTTATTTTATTCTCCTTTATTTGATTTTATTTATTTTTATTTTGCTTAAAATGATTTTATTTTATTTACTCCGATTTATCTTATTTATTTTTTTATTCTATTTTATTTTGTTTTATTTAATTTCGTGTCATTTGATATATATATATACAGTTTTTATATATATATATGTATATATATGTGTGTAATTGGCGTTTTGTAACCGCTGAAGCGATTTTCGGCTGAGCTTCTTCTCCAATTTGGGGTTTTGCATCTTAATGCTTTTCCCCTCCAATGGGGGGACCAAAAGTTTATTCTAAGCTGACTTCGAACGGCTGATGGTTTCTTTTTTATGAGGAGCCTTTTTTTTCATATCCGAAATACTTTCAGGGGTGGACATTCCCTGCTGAGGGTCGGCCGCAATTAGAAAATTTAACTAAATTTTTTATTTAAATTAATTTTCCATAACTTTTTGGATGCTGGTCGCACGGGGATTTGAACCCGTGCCTTACGAAAGTCAGTACGCAATACTAACCACTCGGCTACCGTGGCCGTTGTTTTGTTTTTTTTGCTTTATTTCGTTTAATTTAATATAATTTAGTACAATTTATTTCAATTTTTTCAAATTAATTTTATTATTTTTTATCAGATTTTTTTTATTTTATGTAATTTAATTTAATTTATTTCATTTTGTTCAATTAAAATATATTTATTTTAGTTTATTTAATTTAATTTTACTTTCTGTATTTTATTTGTTTGAATTTAACTTTATTTTATTTTATTCCCTTTTTTATTTTTATTTAGTATAGTTTAATATAATTTATTTCATTCTTTTTGATTTAGTTTTTATTTATTATATTTTGTTTCATTTTATTAAACATTTATATAATATTATATAAAATATTTTATTTAAATTTAATCTAAAATAATATAATTTAATTTAATTTATTTCAATTTATTTGATAAAATTTTTTTATTTTAATTTATTCTTGTTTATTTAATTTAGTTTGGTTAAATTTAGTTAAATTTAAATAATTTTCCGTATTTAACTTTTTTTTTAATTTAGCTTTATTTTATTTCAATTCAGCTTTTAATTTTAATTTTTTTTATTTTTTTTTAATTTTCCTATTTGTGTTATTTAATTTATAAATTTATTTTAAGGTTATTCTATTTCATTTAATCTAGTTTAATTTATTTTAATATTATTTTATATTCTTTTATATTATTTTGTTTTATATCATTTAATTTTTTTTAGCTTAATTAAAATAATTTAATTTAATAATTTTCAGTTTTATTAATTAATTTTATTAGTTTTTATTATATTTTTTTTAATTATTATTTCATTTTATATAATTTAATTTTATTTTGTTTCATATTAGTTTATTTTATTTTACAGCTAGTAATTAATATTTATATAGTTGTATGTACAAGTTTTCAGCATTTGTGTGGGATTTCATGTTAATATATAAAGTAGTTTTTGCAGTTGCAGTTTTTGCGTTCAAAATATGATAACTTTTTACTATAACTCACTTTAAAACTCACATTAACAAATATATTTACATATATATTTACACTGAGTTTCATTACGGAAAAGTGAATTTCTGTCACTGAGTACGTAGACATGACAATTTCGTGCCGAGCGCACTCATAAGAATAACTCAACTGATGAATTTAAATAAATCAGAATATTTTAGTCGGCGCCAAGCGGCTCGCCAATTGCTCTAAGAGTGACACGAGATGTCCACTTATTTTGATTTACGTAACGCAGATAATAAATGGAAGGAAATAAAGCAAAAACATGCTGTACACTAATGGGGAAAACGAGGTTTCACAGCTAATCCAAAGTGGGCGTCTGTTGGTGGATGACCATCAAGTGACTTGCCCATCATCCCTCTGATGTGATATTTCTAGTTTGTTCCTCTGCTTATTTGACAAATGATAAAATGCGCTTTACGCGACAGCGTTAAAACATTGATAACTGCCACGGGCGAAGTGTTCTTTACAAATTTATTGTACAGCAAACGGAGTGTGTTGTGATGGAGGGAATTAAATGAAATGTCCTACGTAAAAAATGAAGGGCTTCTGGAGAGTGGTTGTTACGGCGTTTTTTCTTCTCCAGTAATTTTCTGCGATATCACTAATACGTATATCCGTTTTTTGATGCTAATTTGCTCTTAAAGGTAGATTTTGCACTGTTGGCTGTTTTCCTTAAACTTTTCTAACTTTTAGCCCATTACACCTCATACATTATTTAATTTCTTTTCCTTATACATAGAGACTTTCAGACTTTTTTTACATTTACAACGTTGCCAATTTTCCTTATAAGTGAGGCATTTGCTTAAAAGAAATGTTTCGTAGTCTAATTTTTTTCTAATTAGTGTTTTTAAGCACCGTTTCCTACATAATTTATATTGAAATTAAATTTTGAATTGTAGTGGGTCAAATACCAAAGTTTACAACAAAATATTAAGACTTAAACTTCGCGTGAATGTTTTAAAATGGAACTCCGTAAGGGAATCTCTCTGTTTTGTGCATTTAGTTCCAGGAAGCCTGCATTCAATGTTTTATACAAGTTCAACTGGTAAAACTTCTCAGTTAAATTACCGCTGAAAGTATTCTAGTCTGAGTGTGCCATATATCATATGGCACATCTTGTCTTTCGAAAAGCCGAAGTCCATTCCAGTTTAGAAATTTCTCTGAGCATACTACATCTATCTCTTTGAAATACTACTTTTGTCGGTGCTCTCGAGAGTGCTATCTTACGGCGAGCACTAAGTTAGGGGCGGACTTACATTTTGTTCCACCTGCAAAGAAACGTATCCACTTTTGCGATTAAGAGAAAGATGGTTGAGATAAACTGTGCTAATAAAATCCTAATCTTATGAAATGAGCCGCTCTGTGATGAAACCATCCTCTAACTGATGAGAGGAGAGTTTCCAAACTAGTGAGTGGACTACATATTTTGACCTACTTTCAACTTTGGTAACACAATTGACTTTACGGTTATTAAAACGATTGAAAACAACATTAACGAAAAATATTATGATGTAGCCTCTGTTCTTGATTATTTATTTCAAACAGAAGTACTCACCATTGGCAACATATAGTGGATACGAGAACCCGATTACCGGGCAATTTAAAGCGGACAAATAACAAACGTCTTTTGAGCTGCACAAGCACTGAGTTCGGTACAAAAATCTTGCAGACAGCAACAGCAAAGCTTTGTTTGAGACCTTTATAATGCTTTGACACCCAAACAGAAAGTAAAATTCATATTACATATATGTAAAGCCATCAATATGTGGAGTACTTGCCGCCCCATTGGACTTCACTCTACTAAACTAAAGTGCGGCGTATTCCCAAATAACTGCCTTACTGTTTCTGGCTCTTCCAACTCTCATTAGCTGCTAGAGAAGTTGTTTGATCACATGCTCAAAGGCACTTGATTATCAGAAGAGAAAACTTTAGATATCTCCTCAACTCCTCAACTGATTCTATATTTATTCTGACATATTTTAAGGCTCTTAGTGTCGAGTCTTATGTATGCTCATCAGCTCTGCTTGAAAAATACTAAAGTTATCTGGTGGTCGAGAGGATTTCTTTGACTACGAGCTGTTGTGTTGGTATGATTCACCTGACTAAAACTGGATTGAGATCCTACCTATTAGTTGACCATTCTTTCTTTTAAATCGACCTCTCTTAATATGACATATTGGTATGACTGTGATTTGTCAGTCTCGATAAAGACACCTTCTAAAGCCTCACCGAAGTACAATTTGCATTAGGCATCCTCAAAATATCTTAACGAAACACACCCAAGAGGACATTCATAGCCCCAGTACACGTGATGCGCAATCAGTGCTTCTATCTCATATGATAGCTTTGTTCGCTAGTATTGGTCAACAGACCACTGCTTCATGCCAGAGGTACATTCGGAGGGCTTGACACTCCCGCAATTGGGAAGGAAGATCTCGAACCATGACATTCCGAATGTCAGTACGCATTGCTATCCACTCTATTATCGCGGCAATAAGTTTAGTGAGATATATTTTTCCATATATATATTCCTTGAGTTTTATGAAAAGCTAGATTTTTGGCCAAATATTTAGCAGAGTCCCAAATATTTAACAGAGTCAGTGCTCTAACTTTCTCTTCTTTTAAAGTTTTTTATAACCTACTGAACAGACCGCCGGTGTCTTACCATTTTAGTTCTCTCTGTTTTTGAAAATTATTCATTTACCCTTTGGCCGGGTCGGTTGATTACTCTATGACTCTGCATCCACCTACTCTTGCAGGGCAAGTCCCATTTATTTTAAGACCCATGCAAGAGGTGAACGATGTAGGTTTTGCGACAGTCCCCTAATATAAGCCCTAATCAAAGGCCCTTCGACTATAAGCAGAAACTTTCTCCGATTTATTCGTCTGAAGCCCTTGGGTTTGCTGGTAATGAAAAAAAACTTTGTGAAAATATTCCGCCGCGCCACTCCCACCGACATGTTAAACGATCAAAGAATTTTGTAAATATTTGAAATAAACACAGTCTAAATTAAATCCCCATTAAAGCCATTGAGCAAATAAATCCCCCCAAAATGTGTGTGAACAAAACTAGACGCTTAAGAAAAAATAAACAAAAAAAAAAAAAATATTAATAATAATAAAAAGCGAATTTTCAGCTTACCCCCCGACGTGGTGCCCGCCACCGGTGCCGTGGATGTGGTAACCGAACTGGGATTAGGAAACGTGCGCACCTGCGGGCGAAAATTGAATTTAGCACCGGAGGATTTGGCACCCATGCCGATGGTCTCCTGATGCGATTTGCCGCTGCGCAGCACAATCAAAACCTGTTGAGTAATAGAAAAGTTAACAAAAAAAAAAAAAAAAACAGAAAAAGAGCAAAATGAAGAAGAACAGCATTAAAATACATACAAAATGCAAACAAATTGTTAACAAGTCTTATTTCGAGGTAATCGAGGATTAAATAACAAAATTCCCACAAATGTAATTTACACCAACACAAACGCAGACACAATACAAATTACAAAAGCACAAATAAAAATAAATTTGCTTGTTTGTTTAGCTTTCTTTTTACATTTTTGTGAATCTTTCATATTTAAACCTGACGTCAGCATTGCGATATTATATATATATATATATATATATAGTTAAATGTTAGTCATATGCCACACGGGTGGAGGTTGGCTTACGTCACTTACCTTGCTGCCGAAAATTAAGCACAGTAAAAGTGTCACCGTCAATTGGGTGTGAGTAAAGAAAATGATGTAGAGTAAGTCAGGATTAGCCGGTGACTGCAGGAAGAGCCTGTAGGCAAAGAGCATAAAAGTGAGAAGCAGAAAAAGAAAGAAAATTAGTTGATTTTTTATTCTTCCTTTAAGTTGTTCCTATTGCTTGTGTCATGTTGCGTTTTCGTACTGAAGTCGCTGTCAACTGTGATAAATGAAATATAATGTCAAATTGCTGTGCATTGAAATGAGACGGATGGTAAGGAACAAATGAAATAATCTTTTTCTTCTTCCTCTATGGCTTAACAACGGCTCGTTGGTTTAAGCCGAGAACAAGAAATTTCGTTAAACTTCTCTGTCATTCCCGGAGCACCCCAAAAGTAACCAGACATTTCGGGACTTCGTCATTCTTTGTTATTTGGATCGCCCTTGCTTTCATTGTCCACCTCAGAGTGCCAAGTAAAACGATATTTTCACTCAAGCCTCTTAACCCAATCAGAGCAGACGTTGTATATTTATGCGATTGACTTTGTTAATGACATAGTTCATATGGTTCGCGGTCCCATATTGGCAGGAATTATCTTCGTTTGACTTCTAAGCTCACGATATTGGTGCTCCTTTGTAACCGCAAAGTTGTAGTTGTTAACAATTCCGTGGGTCCCAATAAGCAGAGACTTTTAGTTTATTGTCAGTTTGTTCACTATCGGACCAACTTCTTCTGCCTGCTTGTCCCACCTGCAGAGATATGCACATATGGCTCTGGTATTACCAATCACCAGCGCTTCCACTTTAGCCACCCGTTACCAGTAAGTGTGAGCAAATATATTGGAAACTCAAAGTACGTGTATGCGCGGAGGATTCCAAGCTTTACGACGGGAGGAGATGCTTCTTTCATGTTAACCCTTATTGGTATTTTAATTCACTGCAGTATGTTGCAGAGCAAAATTTCCGCTGTCAGGGAAGCTGTTGAATGCGTTGGCAATGAGTACTCATCTTGATCTTCATTGACTGTCGGGTGTCAATAAAATCTCTAGACTCGATCACAACAAACTCCTAAATTGTAGTGAACTGCTGTAGATCTCTTGGAGAGATCTCGCTTGGCTCTCTGGAAACGAAGATATGCAGGGACGACAGCTTTGGTATCTGGTGTTTAGATATGCAACTAGACTCATAAGACCACTGTGGTGGGCAGTTATGGTCATCTTCTCCAACTGTAACATAACGAAGCTGATCCGACCAAAAATATTGCCGAGCAAGAGCACATGACATTTAGACCTCCAGCGATAAAAAAAACAAGATCACTTGAACGCATCATATGTAAATGGATTCGGCCTAAAATAGATTTTATTGCTGCCGTCGATTTTACCGAACCGAACATTTTGAAACCGTATCACCCTAAAGTATCAGCTGTCATGCTTGAGTAAGGGTGACAAAGTGAATATCGGGCAAAATAAAAACAAAGTATGATTATTTAATCTCTGGGCCATAATGAGCCCTTTATCTGAATGATGAACTTATGGAGAGAGAGAAATATGAAATTCGCTTAGGCCTGGGTATGTGGGAGTGGCTTCAGAGAAGCTTCCTCACTTTAAGCTATGTGTTAGTTATTAGCAGCAGCAGCAGTCATTTAACTACCTTTACAATACATAAAATAAAAGAATTTTACATAATTTCCTGTAAATATTTCCTGATGAAATGGCGATTTCCAAGTAATGGGGCCTAAAAGTTGTCTACTCGTTTCCAACATTGCTTAGATGGAACTTTAAAATTGGTTAATTGGTGATTAAGGCATGAAAAACTCTGCAGTGGACATCGCATTCTACGGTTCTTGAGTTGCTTGGTGGCCGCGGCATCGGAGAGGTTCATGCTACAAGCTTAGGGCTTTGGACACTTCCAAAAGTTTTTCCGGTCATCCACAAGAGAAGCCTGCTCGAAATCGCTAGATATTACTTAAAAAGAAATGAGGATAACCCGTCGCTTGTTGAACGCCATAAAATTCTGGACCTTAGTGTCGACTCGCCTTTAAGAAAAAATTATCGCAGAGACAGCATTGAAGAGGACATATGTATATTCGTTCTTCATTCTTAATACGCTAGAATGTGATTATCCTTTGCACTTTTCAACAATCTCCTTCCAATGCACACAGCTTGTATTTTTTCCGTTTTCTCTTTAATTTTTTTTACTTATGCTTTAATTTTCTTATTATTAACTTAACCGATATTAATATATTTCTGTGTATTACTTACATGGACACGTTGAGAAAGCAAGTCAACAGGAATTCATTATAAATGGCCATCGAAATAAAGCGGCTCTCGTTGAATTCGGACGGCGCTTTCCGTACCATTATGCACAGGCGAACACCCCAGGCGAGAAATAAGACCTCCACTGTGCCGAAAAAGTAGAAAAAGTAGAAAAAAGAGAGAAAAAAAATCGAATATTAGGCAGGCAGAGTTGGTAGTAAAGATAATTAGAAAATAATATTAACAGAGAAGAAAGTAATTTTTCAAAATAAATCTCCATAGTTAAGTATATATGTGTATGTATGTATGTAAATTGAAAGAAAACACTAAGGAAATACAAATCTTGTATTTTGGTTTAATGTTTTACGTTTTATAAATGTTTTACGTAATAATATTTTTTTGCTGTTTTCTCTTTCTCTTTTTTTTTTTGTTATTTTTCAGTTTTGCTTTAATGTAATTTGCATGCGAGTCACATTTGTGTCGCTTCCCCACAAAGCAGCTGTTCATACACATTAAATGACAAACGTACTTGTACACATATATATATAAATGTACATATTTATGAAAAAATTCTTCAATTTCTCAAAATCCTGTTAAGCTACTTCAAAATTTATGCGAATATTGATTTCATAACACATATAGGGTTCTCCAGTTTATGATCTCAAAAGCACAGGACTGTATTTTGACTTCTGCTAAACTTAACTGTTGAACCGAACATGTCACGACTCAGCTAAAAATCAGAAAATTATGAATATGAAAATCTCAACAACCGCACAGCGCGTTAAAATTTAAAAAAACTACTAAAATATGGCTAGTACAACGTGACCACGTTTTGTGATTTAAGTGGAGATTATGGTAGACATAATCATCCAAAAACTCCAGCAATTGGTTAAATTTCCATGAGAATTTGAAGCGACGGGTTCGGATGTTTATATTGTCATCGTTTTATTTGTTTTATTCCACACTTCGTTATTGTAAATAAAAGAAGTCAGAGACCCGAAAGTGTTCATTACGCGACGTTATTAAGAGCTGGAACTGTTTTACGGCACATTATGACACACACCCACATCTACATACATAAAGCCCAGCACGTCTAACAACTGAAGCCGGCTGAGCTTACACAACGCCAGCAGTCCATCGACTGGGTGCTTGAGCGACAAGGAGTGGACAGAGATTTTTGGAATTAAAATTTTCTTCCATTAAAAGGATAAATAAAAAAAATTGTCGCATTTAAAACCCCGAGAGGGTTCAAATAATTAAAGAGAGGCCTTTACAGACTTTTTGTGGCTAAATCTTCAACTCTTCAGCACTTAAAAAGCAAAATATGTGTAGTTATGACTGAGGTGCCACCACTATCTCAAACGATTCGAAGTTTGTAAGAATTTTATATAAAAGATTATAAAAATTTCAATGCATTTTATTGACGTTTATTTTCGAGACCACCAAATATAAAGCCCTGTAGACACAAACTTACGCTTGTACGTACTTTCTATACATATGTAAATACGTGTATTATATTTATGAGCAAGTGGGCGTTGAAAATTCGCAAAAAAAAGGGAAGAATCTTTGTAAATTTTGTAAGTTTTCTGCATTATTCATGGCAGAGCAGCAAAATTGTTCATGCTTCGGTGCCACAAAAAATGCTACAAAAACAAACACTAAAATTACACACAAAGCACCAAAACATATATACACACACACACACATTATAGTCGTTACAGTTTGTATTTTCCAACATCGAGTTTTTGCTGCGATTTTCTTTCTGCGTTTTTTTTTGCTCCTTTCTTTGCTACAAATTGTTGCTGTTGTTGTTTTTTTTCGTGATTTTGGTAATTTTGTAATCTTTTGCTCGGCATTTCGCTTGTGACACTTGTGTGGTGCGCATATTTTATAAAGTGGGTTACTTTGAATTTTCTTTTTTTTATTGTTTTTTGTTCAATTATTTTAATGTGACACACATTTTATGCTAACTTCCTGCATCTGAATTACTGACTTCAGGCGGTGGATATGACTGCTACTGCATGTGTGTGTGTATATGTGAAAATTATGTTTTCTATGTGCACCTTATTAAATGGGGTATTCAGTTCAAAGGTTTTAAACTGGCTATTTTGAGGCAAACGAGAATGGTAGAGACGGAATCTAAGGCAATCTTTTGGATGGAGTGAATATTTGAAACTTGAGCGCCGTAAAAATCAGGAGAATTTAACTTACAGCTATTAGTATGTTATAACTAATTAAGAAATGCAAAGACTTCAGGTCGACTAGGAGAGAACAGAAATATCATTCCTCATGGCAGATACCAAACTTATTCTTTCAATATGCCCATGAAACCTCCAGGCTGTTGGACAAACAACCACAATGCACAGTTGCGCCCTAGCTCGCGCTGTCTCACAGATCCTTTTTATTACAGATGAAACAGTTATCAGCTGAGCTAATTGTGTTGTGCGTCTAGATGCACTGATGATTTTTCAAATAATACAACGACCATTTGTTTAATCTAAACGTCCATCGAATAACAAAAAAATTTTCTGCCGAGCCTTTATTTCATGCCGGGTATACATTTACAGATGTTGATATGCCCTAAGTTAAACCGACCGCGTTTAAATAAACTTTCTATAATTTTGAGAATGTAGATTTGGCCGGAGTTTGACTTTTACTACGACCATCGTGAGGTCCTAGTCATACCAAGGTCTATATACTGTGCTAGACTCTACCTCGCATTAACAAACTAATATTTGGCGAACGCAAATCCTGACCAGTTGGCATTACGTAGTGCTATATGGAGGGCCATGTTTCGGATCTTGGTTTGACCCACATCGAATATAACAGAAATAAGTTTTTGTAATTGTGGTTACCCCTCAGAAGGGTATGATGAGCCTCCCGAGTGTATTTGTAATATGAAAACCAAACCGTTCGGGTACAAAGCTTCTATTATATACATATATATATATATCCATTAAAGGAGTAGTATCCTTTTGAGCCCGAAATCAGCAATTTTTGTTTGAAAAAAAAGAAAATTTTTGCGGTAAATTTTCAGGCAATAAAGTATTTTATCTATGCTTCAAAAAACAATTTTTAGTGTCAAAAAATATTGGAATTCTCCAATTTCGGCACGAGTGTTCTGAAGCGGCTGCAGTCTGAGCTCGTGGAACGGTGTCGGCAATGGAACCATTACTTCTTTTAATTTTTATGAGTGTCTCTTCTATATGCACAAAAAAAGAAGGTATATATCCGAAGAGTTTGGAAAATTCTAAATTTTTTCGAAGTTTGAAAAAAGCAAAATCCACTTCAAGTTGCAAAAAGAAAGTAGTTTAAATAATACTTTCGCCCCCTGTTTTGGTACAAATAGAAGACAATTTAATACTGAAGCTTTTCCTGTCACCGGCATTATTTTCTAGGGTTTGTACAAATACAAACTCTGGAAAACGCGTTTCAAAGATCTGCCCGAGCATTTGAAGCAGCTCGACGTTCGGCCACTAAAACTGCTCTGGCTTCTAAAATATGACGAACTGGCCAACGCAATTTTGAAGACATATTTTTGGTTAGATTAAAAAATCGGCTGTAAATACTGCTGCCTTAAGAGCTACACATCTAAGGTCCCTTTTCCTGTGATTTGAGAAGAGTTTGTTTTTGGACAATCCGTCAAATTTCTGCGAAAACCGTTTCATTTCTTTCCACTTCTAATACGTTTTTCCTAACGATGATAATATCATGACCAACAACAACAATTGCTCAAATATGCAAACACCAAACTGTGTTGTTTTACAAGATATGTATAAAACCAGTTTCATGGGTAAAAATTAAATCAAAAATACCCTTTTATCAGGAAGAGCTTCCCTTTATTATCAGCTCGAGAGATTACAAAATTTTATTGCCTACAATAAGTGTAGGTTGGTCCAGTAAAATCACTTAAAAATTTAGAGATATGTTAGAAGAGAACCGTTAGGTATCAAGCAATGAATTTAAATTAAAATGAAAGAGAAAATTTTCCATGTTCTGTATTGAACCCATTTTACCATTAATCTTGAGCTTTTAAGATTCAAAGGTACCGAGGATTGCTCTGAAGCTAAATATTTTCAGAGATTTTAACCATTTATTGACTGAGCATCAGGTCGAATTTTTACTCTTTTGATGTTTTGCTCCTCTTGGCAATAACCATAAAGACTTAAGTAGACTTCAGATAATGAAGGTGAGATGGTAAGACCTACCGTATACATTAAAAATTTGCCTCAAACCTGGTGCATCTAGCTTTTGACTAGGCTCAAAGGAGAGTTGGAAGTTTCAAATGATAGATAGGTCTGTCTATGCTCTCTCTGTCAAAACAAGTTTAGTTTTCACTAGATTTCATCTTCTCTTACTGTAAAAAATAGTGACGGAACTCCTACAAGCTTACTGTATCTGTAAATATAAGAAATACTGTCGGAAGACTGAGTAATCCTAACTGAGTTTTAGGTATTTTGGTAGCTACAGCTCACTAGTTGAACTTTAATAACTCCTTGATATCAATATGTTTTTGCCTTAAACTAGTTTCACAAATTAAACTGTCTGCTGGCTAAGAATTTTCAGCCTTTACCGATATTGCATGAAACAATGGAGTTAAGTGTTGAGATTTCGAGGAATTGCCAACGTTTTTAAGAACTCCTTGTAGTGAAGCGATGATTGGATGCATTCCTAAGTGGTTAACACTGTTTAGCGAAAGGTTATTTTGATGGTTCATCTACCCCGAGATCTAAAAACGTAGATGAGCAACTCGTTGGGCAGAGTCATTACTAAAGAACAGTAGCCAAAGCGAATTATAATAGTCACACTATTCAATAATCCATTTACAAGTATAAGTGCAGTGAGCAAGAAATTGATTGTTAAATCAAACGGAGTTCAACTTTGAGGCCTACTTGTGCAAAAGGTCAAAAACCTGATAAAGTAACCATTATGACTGCAGTATACATTGCAGCTTCTGTATCTGAAGGTGGGAGCAGTGTGTGGTACTGTACGAAGGCATATGGTCAGACCAACAAATTCCATGCGCTCTTCGGCTAGGAATTTTAACCGCCCCAAGCATAGCCTTGGGAATGACCTCTCCGAGCCTTGAGGTACCAAACAAGTTTCTTAGATAGGGGATCCTTTATCGTGTGAAGAGCTGTCTATCCAATTAGACATGGTACAATCTTTTAAAAGAGTGTGAAACTGCTGGCGTGTGCAGAAGACATTGATTTCATCGGCCTTAACAACCACGCTATTAATTATGCTTTCTCCAGTCCAGTTTTTACAACGAAGCGAAGCGAATGGGTCTGGTAGTGAACGAGGGCAAGACGAAATATCTCCTGTCATCAAAAAAACAGTCATCGTATTCGCGACTCGGCTCCTACGTCACTGTTGACTGTCATAACTACGAGGACGTAACTTAACTCCAGTATCTAGGGACCACCATAAACGCCATTAAAAATGCCAACCTTTAAGTCCAAAGCAGGATCACTCCCGCTAACAGGTGCTACTTTTTACTCATGTCGTCCGAATGGATAAAAGCACTCCAGATTAGAAAATATTCGATGCAGTACCCACTGAAGAGTAAGGCCTCCACACCGTTGGAAGGATCAGGTAGAAAGTGATCTGGTGTCACTTGGAATTTCTAACTAGTGCCAAGCATAAATCGTGCTTGCGGTGACGACGTGAAATGAAAATAGTATCAGCTAGTCGTAAGAAAAGCCTTGAAAAGCTCACTGCATTTTCGAAAATGAGCTTGACCAGAAATCACCTTCAGAAGGCACCAATTATACATATAAAAGAGCAAAATTTTCCAATAACGGCAACGCAGAATGGGCGAATACTTTCAGCAAAGAACAAGCAATAAAGAGACCGCCAGTGCTTGTTTAGACGACGAATGAATCTTAATTCTCCCGCTAACCTTTAGAAATCACAACGGAATGGCCACAAGCCGAATGAGCAGTAAGGCTGCATAAAAGTTAATGGTTGCTGGTATATCTTCAGACTATTAAATATCTTTTAAGTTGAATTTTTTGATTTCCCAAATCACTGTGATCTAAATTTAAAGCAGAATTTAATATGAATCTATTTTCGTTTCTCCCAAACTTTTCTTCCTCAACTACCATGCCCGCTAAGTGCATTGCGTGACTTGGCACCTCGAATCAGAACACGCAGGCATATGGTGCCTCAGAAGACTTGCGGTCATGTTTCCCAAATATGACTTTCGAAATGCCCCACTTTATGTGTGTGTGTGTGTGACAGATTGACATACAACATATGTGCCAGAATGTACAAACTTAATTACATATATTTACTTGTACTTTGTAGTATGGAATTCTAACGCCAAAAGCAGCTATTTGTAGTTACACATACACACATGCATGCATGCACATGTAACGACACAATACACAGTGTGGCATCTCAACCCGTTCAGGCAACGCTGGGTCGCCAGATTTATTTTTTTCGCATCATTTTTACTTTTTCTTCTTTCAGCATCAGTGCATGTGTTTGGGCGAAAATTTTAAGTTTACACATCATGTGTTTAACCATAGCAGACCTTGGCATGCTTAACGCGTACACATGGGTATGTATGTGTAAGTAAATGTAAATCTCGCTGGGGAATATATACACAAGATGTAGGTATGTATGTATGTAGTTTTGGTATGTCACGTGCACGTGTGTGACATTGTAAAACTTTGCTTTAAAAGAAAAACTATTATAGTAAAAACTGAAACACCGTTAAGCCACTTAAGTCAGTTGTGGTCGAGTGTTCAACGACAAACGCGTCTCTTGTGCGAAAGAATTCTCTTGTTGGTTGTAAATTTAATCGATAATCATTTAAGTAAATATGGATAGTGACAAGATTTGCAAAAAGATAAAAAAGGAAAAATAATAATAGTAAAAAAAAATGAAAATGAAGAAATAAATAAATTTAAAGAATGCAACTAATACATTCTATGTCATATAGGCATATATTTATTTGTACATATATTTGTACAGATTGACATAGCTAAACACACAACAGTTATTTTGGTATTTTTATTTATCGGTTTTGAGATAAAAGTTTAATTAAATTAGATTTATTTCACTTTAAATCGAAATATTTGCAAATTTGTTTTCTTTTATTGAAATTTTTTTATTTTAAAGTTAAAACCAGAACTAAATGAACTAAAAAAAATGTTTTTCGGAGTACTTATATATGAATTTGTCTTACTAGAAGTCTTCCACGTCCAATGAAACTTTTTTCTGATTTCTGAGTTTATAAACTTTTTCATTTTAATTATTTTCAACCTTTAGTTTTTTAAAATAATAAATTCAAAAAAATGCTACTACTTCAAAAACCATAGTGATGTTTCTAGCAATTTTTGATAAAGTCGAATTTTGGAAATTGTGAAAACGGGGCTTGGTGGTTAACCAAAATTTTTAAAATTAGAAATATAAATCTATGCTACAGCTTTATTTTTTTGATAAACCTCTACATACTCGCGTATTTATAATAATTTATCAAAATGTTCTAAATAGCGAACATTTTTAATTTTTTTGAATTAACATATTTTCAATTCATTTTTTTGTTATGCTATTCTCCATATATCTATTTTAATTATTTTTAATTATAAAATATCATTTCTTTCTATCTAATAAAAAAAGGCAAGTATTGTCCAAAAAATTAATATTTTTAATTTAAAAACATATAACTTTTATCCTGTGGGCTATAAACCGGTTAATTTTTTAGCCATTCGATACCAGACAAACCAGAAATATAATAAGAATTTCTTAACAACATTTTTTGTAAATGCTTTGAATATTTATTTTCCCTATAAGAAATCAGAATTATATAAATTGTGCTTTTTATTTAATTATTTTAATTAAATCATGTACCTGAATTTTAGTTTGATGCCTATTATTTATTGTTTACCCACTTTATTACATATTATTTATTCGTCAGTTTATTGTATATACAATTTTGTCTTTTTTTGTTTTTTGTTTTATTATTTATTATCTGTTATTTAATATATATTTTTCATTATTTTAAATTTAGAATTAATTATTTATTATTTATTATTTATTATTTATTATTTATTATTTATTATTTATTATTTATTATTTATTATTTATTATTTATTATTTATTATTTATTATTTATTATTTATTATTTATTATTTATTATTTATTATTTATTATATATTATTTATTATTTTTAATTATTGAATTTATATTATTATATAATATATAAAATCTCTTTCGTTTTGCACCACCTTGTATATTCCATTTGAACAAAGCTGTCGAGATTCCTAATAAAATCACCAATCCTTGGATTAATACATTTGTTATGGAAAAACAAATTATCCTAATTTTTTATTGCGTATACGCCCTGTTGTCCTACTCACATATGCTCTTAATATGATTAAATTTATAATATTAAATAAAAGTATGAAAAAGATTTAATAAATTTATAACAATGAATGTTTATTTTTGCCCAACTCAATTATTCTCTTTTACGAATTCTTTTTGCGTACTTTCCATGTTATAAGCTTCACCATTGCCTTTTGCATTCATTGGTCATGTCTACATATTCGTCTCTTGGTACTTACTCGATGTGAAAGTGTAGTCCCAGTAATCCGTTTTGCACAAAAATGCTTTCAGATCATCGGCAGTGCGTCCAACCACAACATCGGGCGGTGCCACCAAAGTACGCACCAACAGGCACGTACCAATGACACCGCAAATAATGCCGAGGCGCTTCAACAGTGCTGCGTCTGTGATTTTAACCGCTTTCGCTGAACGAACACGAAATATCACCGAAATGCTGCAATGAAAAATAAAAAGAGGAATAAAATTTAATGAAATGGAGTAAAAGAGAGGAAATGGGAAATGCAATAGCCAAGAGCTGGGTTGAGAGTATCTATGAAAATATGTATTTGGTATATAAGTAAGGCTATGTGTGGGTACATATTTATATGAAAACGTATCGACATTATACGAAATTCACGTGACGAAATTCGTGTTTATATATTTTTTATGCATGAAAAATATTTGTATGCTATTTTTGCGTAGAACTTTTACTCACCGCCACGTCTTCAACATCAACGCTCCATATGTTAAAGAAAAACCAATTTCGCGTAGCCATATTCGCGCCGTACAGGTGTAAAGATTTGGATTTGGATACATGACGATAGTCTGTAAAGAATGTTGAAAATAAAATATTTTACAATTACACACAAAGGCATTTTTATGAAAATAGGAAAGGCAGCGATTCAAACAGCGAAGATTTTCTAATGCTGTTCATACGAAAGTTAACAGCCCCCTAATGGGGCTTGAAAAAGTATATGTTAAGTCGCAACTTAATCATTTTAAATCCAGTCGACGGTAAAAAGATCCAAAGGATGCATGAAAAAACTTTCCTACTTACCTTACCCTTTACTGACCCAATTAGTGTATGAAAAGCTTTTACATTCACCTCATGAATAAGATAAATTTATTATAATCATCAGTTGTGAGAAGGGGTAGGGACAATTTTATTAAGACGGAGTTTTTATCCATTACTTCGTTTCATTTTAAATTGATCATTAAGTCTTGAAATTAGCTATAAACTGAAGCCTTGCTCTCAGAAAAGTCTCTGGAGCTTTTGTGCCATTTCTATTTTAGCCAGAGAGCTTTTCATCCATTAAAGGCTTGGCATTGCAAATAATTTTTTTCCCTGCGCCATTAATTTCGGTAATCATTAGTCTGATCATCCGGCGATAAAACAAAATTTGATTTTACAAAGAAAAAATGAAAAGAATATTCGTGCTTGAATATCTAACGAGATTTGAATGACAGAGTTGGGATTTTAATTTTTATGACATATCAAATATTGGAAGAAAAACACTGATTTTAAGTGGCGTACCATGTGTGCACATGTATCACGTATTACATAACACGAGCTCTGCCCGAGTTATTGGTTTTGTATTATATCCTGTTCAAAATTGAATACACTGCTTTTGTATTCACATTCTTAACGTACGTAAAAGCAGTGGTCTCTAAACAAAGTTGCTTTGTGCCCCCTTTAGGTGGTTGCCAGTGGACCATCCATCGGTTCAGCGTTACCCACTTACCATGCATGAGTGATCATCAGCCTGCCTTTCTCCTCATTTCGCCACAACTACCTTCTAGCTCTTTTTTTCATAACTCCTTTCCTACTTTTTTTTTTGTCTTACTTTTCCTTAAAACCAAAAAGCAGTGGGCTCTTAACTAAACCCAACAGCCCGGTCTTGATGAGGCTGAATGATTTTTATCTAGTTTGAGAACTGAACAGAAAGTTCATTTTTTTTGTGGTTAAGTATACTCGAGCAAACTCTTGTTGGAGCAATAGAGGTGATCGAGTGACTAGTGCCCAGAATATACTGAAATTATAGAGGGAGCACTTCTTCAACCTGCTGAATAGAAGTGAAGATGGTGAATCCGTAGACGGTGAACCCGAAACCCCAATCGATGACAATGGAAGAAAGGTTCCATTACCTAACCATGAAGAAGTTCGAAAAGCAATCGCCCGCTTAAAAAACAACAAAGCGGCGGGAGCTGGCGGCCTACCGGCAGAGCTAATCAAACATGGCGGAGAAGAGCTGAAAAGGTGCATGCATCAGCTACTTTGCAGAATAAGGTCAGACAAAAGCATGCCCGACGTTTGGAATTTAAGTGTGCTCCGCCCAATCAATAAAAAAAAAGGGGATTCCACAGTCTGCGCCAAATACCGTGCGATAAGCCTCCTTAATATCGCATATAAGGCCCTTTCGAGCATTTTGTGTGAAAGACTAAAGCCAACCGTCAACAATCTCATTGCACCTTATCAGTGTGGCTTTAGTCGCGGTAAGTTAATCATTGACCAGATATACACCATGCGTCAAATCTTGGAAAAACCCTGTGAAAAGAGGATCAACACACCCCACGTCTTCGTCGATTTTAAAGCCGCTTTCGACAGCACGAATGCCTTTAGGCCGCTATATCTGAATTTGGTATCCCAGCAAAACTTAGACGGCTGTGTAAGCTGAAGCTGGACAGCAACAGAAGCGCAGTCAGAATTGGGAAGGACCTCTCCGAGCAGTTCGATACCAAACGAGGTTTCAGACCGGCTGACTATTTGTAGTGTGATTTCTTCAATTTGATGCTGGAGAGAATAATACGAACCGCAGAGGTGAATAGAGAAGGTACAATTTTCTATAAGTGTGTACAACTATTGGCGTACATCGACGATATTGAAATTATTGGCCTCAACAACCGCACCGTGAGTTCTGTTTTCATCAAACGTGATAAAGAAGTAAAGCGAATGTGTCTTGCAATGTACGAGAATATGACGAAATATCTTCTGTCATCAAACAAACAGTCACCGCATTCGCGACTTAGCTCCCACGTCGCTGTTGACAGCCATAACTTTGATGTCGTATACCATTGGAATCAATATTAATACCAACAAAAATGATAGCCTAGAAATCCAGCGCATAATCACTCTTGCCAACAGAACCTACTTTGGGCTGAGTGGACAATTGGAAAATAAAATCCTCTCTCGATAAGCCAAAACCGTCCTGCTATATGGTGCGGTGGCAAGGATATTGCCAACAACTGATGAGTTGGCGTTAGGAGTTTTCGAGAGAAAGGATTTTCAAATATCACTGCCGATGGACGGGAGCTGTTCGATATATATGGCGACAGCGTATCAAGAGACAGCGGCTGCGCTGGGTCATGTGGTCTGGATGGATGCGAAGACTCCAGCTTTGAATGGTCGTGAAAAGCCCGGTTACATTTGGTACTTCCAATAAGCACAAAACAGCGAAAAGAGTAGTGAACTGTTGTTAAGCGGAGGACCGAAAAAGCACTTTTTTGTGATAAACAACGTTATGATAAATAAAATATGCTTCCAACTTATTGTAGTTTTCCATTATTACTTTGTATTCTAACGAAATATGTGCAAAAAGTTTGCACCTTTTAATGTAACCATATAAAGTTCATTACATATATACACATATGTATTTTGCACCGTCGAACTTTGGCGAATTGTAGTATATTAAACTACAGCAAAGGTGCACCAAGGCAAAACAGCAGTTTAAAGTAACAGAAAAGAAGAAAGGGAAATGGATTTAGTAACCTCATCATTACGGTGGAAATATACTTAACAGAATTCTATACATACACACTTACTTGTATGTATATAAAACTTTTCTTATGCTGACTAATACTTGCAAATGAATGTACTGTTGTTTATATATATATAATTGGCACCTTGTAACCGCTGAAGCGATTTTTGGCCGAGCTCCGTTCGAAGGAAACGTCAAGACGCGAAAACACAAATTGGAAGAGAAGAGAGATTGACGGAAAATCGCATCAGTGGTTACAAAGCGCCAATTATGTATATATATATGTACACTACGCATGATGTTAATATAGAAATTGATTGATTTATTGGCTTTGAATACATAGAAACGCTTTCTTCTAACACAATGACGCATTTCTACACATATACACACACAAATACGTATTAATTCAATGAGTTGGCGTTAAGTTTCCTCAGGAAGAAAATAAATAAGAAAAATTACCTTAAGATGAAAAGTACTTTTCCTGCAAGAAAACTTTTTTTTTTGGGGAAAATTCAAAATATAATAAAAATATACTGGAATAGCAAACAAAGATAAAAAATTTTAATAATAAATAAAAAGTAAAAAAAAAAAAGTAAAATAAAAAGTAAAATATACACAAAGATATCGGAAAAAAACTAAGTTGTTAGTAGGATCTTGCGCTGGAAAATAAAAATAAAAAAAATTGCAAAATTCGCAAACAAAGTATTTTAAAGGATTTAAGCACATAAAGTTATTTTATTTTTAAATATATATGTTTCATAGGTCTTGAAGGCCAAAAAAAAAGCTTATTTTCTCTGATTTTTAAAAAAGATACTTAATAAAGTTTATAATTTGTTTTGTTTATATATAAAAGAACAATATGTGGACAACATGTGATGAAAATTTGAATGAAAAATAGTATAAGTTAAGGCGTTAGCACTGTCGTGAAGTTGACCATCCACAAGAAAATGCTTACGCGGTAGTCATGATAGCTTTTTCAATTTTTATCTGAAATCAAAAATAAAATTTTTACTTAAAGAAGGTGAATTTTACTTTTCCCTGATGGAAGAAAAATTAAGAAAATTAAAAAAAGAAAGAAAGAAAGAAAATTTTTTCAAAGCGTTTTTGCATAGAATTAGGCCACATATTGGCTTGTAAAATGAGTTGAAATCAAAGATAAAATAAATCCTTCGTTTAGGGACTACAAAAACATGCTTAAAAGAAGTGGAAAATTTTAACTCGATCGCTTCAATAGTCGTTGAGAAATTTGGCTACCGATTTCGATAAAGTGGGTTTAAGGAAAACACCATCTAGCCTGTCACAATTAGTCAAGCCACGATAAAGACGGCGGGATATAAAGATTTCTAATTTCTACAATTTGTTGTCGATCGACTTGAAACTTGGGAGAAAGTATTCCTGACACTTTGTACTTTTATACAAAAAATTTCAAAAAAAAAATTAATTTTTTGAAGTTTCAAGACCTATGTAACCCCTTAAAGCAATTGTCGAAACACTATTTTTTCACTCTGAGTGAAACAACTCCTTAAATGCGTTCTGAGTGCGTCAACCGCCTCCTGAGGTTTCGAAAAACGTTCTCCTCTCAATGTCTTTTTACGCGTGGAAAGAAAAAAGTTATTCGGTGACAAGTTAGGACTACACAGTAGATGACCCATCAAAACGATGCTTGCGTGCTCAAAAATGCGGTTGTTAGAGTCGTTTAGAGAGAGTTTGCTTTAGAAGTTCGTTGAACGACTATTGTTGGATTAAGTTTTTAACCAATATTAATATATTAAATATTTTCGAAAGGTTATTTCTAATTTTGTTTCTTTTATTACGTTTTATTTATATATATACAAAATTATTTCTGAATATATAGAAAAAATATTTATAAAAAATAAAAGACGCCACATCGTCTTTGGATAATTTTACGCATATTCTACACTTATACTGAAATAAAGAAATAGAGCTTAGTTCTTCTTTTTCTAATACAGCGAAATATTAGAAAGATTATGTTCTGCCCGCGCGCTTGCTTCATCCACAAACGATTTAAACAGCACGCGCGCGTCTATGCGATCAATGCGCGTTCTTCATGGCTTCAATTATGTGCATTTAACTTATTTTTAAAAATGTGTTTTGGGCTATATTTGAGTTAATTTTGTAATGATTTTAACTTCCTAAACTTTTTTAAACTTAAATACGTACTATGCTTACTGTAATCACTTGATTTGAGGACCTTTAAGGAATATTCATCTTCGAATTACAACGTATCTGTTCGCATTATCGACAGCATGCTCGTGTCGGGTGGGTATAGAAAAATGTCTTCAACTTCTAAATTTATATTTTTATAAGTGTATAAATACATCATTGCGTTTTGGGATCATAGAAATCCATAAAAATGAAATTAATATAATTATATATATATATTTTTAAAGTAAGAAGTTCGTTCGGTTTTTTTTATTGATTTTTCAAAATATGATAACTTTATTTACATTAGTCCGATTAACGTATAAGTCAAATATGCGCCGTTTTTTCGTTGTTGCCAACAAGAGACCAACTTCAATATACCTCTCTCGTAGAAGGCTGCGTCCCAATTGGCAAAAACTCGGAGAGCCAATCTTCACAGGTCTCTCTTGAGACCGATTTCTCACCTTTAAGCGCGTTCGCATGGACGGGAAAAGATGGTAATCACTTGGTACCAGGTCCGGTCTATAAGCTGTGTGTGGCCTGGCGTTGTCCTGATGGAACACAATTCGGCCTCTGTTGATCAAAGATGGCCTCTTCTGTATGAGTGCTGCATTCAAGCGGTCCATTTGTTGGTAGTAAAGGGCCGAATTAAGCATTTGGCCATACGGAAGCAGCCAATCTCATCAAACACACAGCAAAATCTGGTGCATCTTGACATCGAAATTACCAGAACATTTTCAAGCAAACCACTTTTGTGCTACACGTTCGTTTACAGTATCGGGCCCATAAACTAAATTAACTTTTTTAGCCGCTTTGGCTGTTTTTTCGCCTTGATCGAAGAAAAATTGTCAAATTTATCGAATTTTCTCTTTGGTGTCCATCTTTGACGATTGCTCACGACGTACTGAGTCAATCAATCGAAAAACTGGCAGGGAAAAACTTTTAGCGCGAAAAAACACGTTTTCAGCGCCGTACAGTATGACACGATAAGACACGTAACGCTAGTACTATGGACACTAACGTCATCTCTTAGATAAAAACCGAACGATCTGTTTACTCGACACTTTGTAAGCTCTGAAGCGATTTTCCGCTGAGCTCTCCTCTAATTTGTGGTTTTCGTTTTCATGTGCGTATTTATCGTTATTGTGCGATCCCTCTTCCCTTGCTGCATCCAACCACATGCAGTTCCGCTGACTGATTTTTGTGAAAAATTTAGAAATGATGTCCAACTCACGGTAAAGTGAAAACAAATACGTTTAAGGAATTTAATATGTATACGCAAGCTTTTTCTTCTATCATTCCACCATCCATAAACGATTTCTTTGCGACGATGACAAAATTTGCAAATATGAGAATTACAATCGGTCTGAAGTTGAAGACACATACACTCAAAGAGACCAGTATGTATACGAAAAGCATCTACATCCACAGGAAACTGCCTATTTTATTCCTTTGTACACCGTCATCAAGAAGAAATTATTTGGCGACGATTGAAAAGTTGCAAATTTCAAACAATGGAAAGCGAAAATGAATCGAGAGAAGGATTTAAGCCAGCACAGCTTGGAGAAAAGTCAATTCACGCAAATCATTGAAATATCGTTGCCTTAATTGGTGTCTATTTAGGTTTCTTTAGGTGTATTCAAATGACCTATGTATGTATGTATATTTAATTCGAACTAACTAACTAATATGGAATAAATTCCCTTGTTTAAAAGGCCAAACACAGAGAAATTAATTCTATACGATTTCTCTGTTTTTCGCAGAAGATAACTTGTCTGCCTCTGTTAACAAAATTAATTTCGTGGTGGCTGTTATTTAACAGCGCGTGAAATTGCTTTCCCGAGATTTTTCAGAAGTTGTCATGAGTTTGCACCTTATATCGATACGAGATTTCTTTTGAGCGATTGACAAATTTTGTAGAAACCAACATGAAAAATTTTCTTACAGTCAAATCTTCATCCAATACTGAATGTATGCTGGTATCCTTATCTCATGATAGGTCCACATGACGATTCTGGAATATCAGTTCGCGTACAGTATGAATAACTTTCGGAACAGCAACTAACCTTCACGAAGATCATCTTGGAGTAATCCACGGCCTTGTGTAAATTCATCATACCAACTATAAATACTAATAATTGATGCAGCTTCAGCGCAAAAAATTAAATGAAATCCATGAAGACTCTACTGCTGAGCGAGTCCACATAGAAAGTTGCAAAAAATTATCGTGCAAAAAAGTTCGCGATTTCACTTCATTTCTTCGCTGAGGTGAATATTTTAAGCAACTGTCAACAACATATATAGCGTTCGTATGCCAAAGCGTACTTTGTATGCATAACATAAAAAATCTCAAACTTTACGATGAAGTTATCAGTTGCCAGATTATAAAATTAGAGTTGCGAAATAAAAAAGTCAACCCTCTTAATGAACTCGGAGACATTTGTTGACGTAAAGTCTGAAAATTTAAACAATATATCCCTGAATCTGTTACAAAAACAACAAAAATCGAGGAAGGTCAAATAATAAGTTCATTTGGTTTTTATCTTAGAGATGGCGTTATTGTCCACAGTACTAGTGCTACGTGTCGCATCATGTCATACTATACGGCGATGAAAACATGTTTTTTCGCGCTATGGGCCCGATACCGTAAACGAACGTGTAGCACAAAAGTGGTTTGCTGAGTTCTATTCGGAACCATTTGCATAACCTTGAATTCAAAAAGAATAACGATGTTCAGGTGCCGCACAAACTAACGCAAAAAACATGATGAACCGAATTCCCGTCTGCTAATCGCTGCTCAATCGCAACAAAATCGACCCGTTTCTGAAGTGGATTGTGACTGGCGACGAAAAATGGGTAACTTGCGACAACATAGAGCGCAAACGGTCATGGTCAAAGCTCGGGGAAGGGGCCCAGACGGTGGCCCGGATCGTATTGACGGGTAGGAAGGTTGTGCTGTGTGTTCGGTGGGATTGGGAAGGAATCGTCTACTACGAGCTGATTCCCTATGACCAAACACTCAATTCGGCTCTCTACTGCCAACAACTGGACCGCTTGAAGGCAGCACTCATCCAGAAGAGGCCATCTTTGATCAACAGAGGCCGAATTCTGTTACATCAGGACAACGCCACGCCACACACGTCTTTGGTGATGCGCAAGAAGCTCCTGGAGCTCTATGGGAGGACCTAATGCAGCCAACTTATGTCCGGACCTGACACTAACTGATTACCATATCTTCCTGTCCATGGCGAACGCGCTTAATGGTGAGAAGTTGGCCTCAAGAGGGGCCTGTGAAAATTGGCTCTAACAAAATACCGTCAGCCGGACCGATTCAGAACCAAGAAATGTGAATGGGATCTTTGTGTAAAAATTTTTGACGCAGCTATAAAAACTCAAAAAGTGGTGCCCGCGGTTGACGAGTAGCTAGGTTTGCATACCACCGTTCGGAAGGCCAGGGTTCAAATCTTGGTATGATCAACAGACGAAAGTTGTGGAAAATTTACTTAAATAGAAAATAAAATTAAATTTTCTAATTGCGATCGCCCCTCGGTAGGGAATGTCAACCCCTCCGAGTGTATATCTGACACGAAAGCCTTCAGCTGTTTGGAGGTGGCTTAGTATAAACTGTCCTTCAATTTTGTTGTAAAATGCAAAGCCAACAATTTGAAGGAAGAGATCGGCCGAAAATAGCTTCAGCGGTTACAAGCATCATTATATATAATATACATTTAAATATAGTTGTATATGTAGTTGGTAGAGCTCGAGATGTGTGATTTGAAGAGAATTCCTAGTTTAAAATGAATTCAACAAGTTTTGGATATTATTTGAATATTTTCAAAGCAAACCAAAGGATTTGAGTATCTACACGGATAAGAGTGACCTTTTCACTGCCCATATGTAGTTGTTAAATGTTCTAATGAGTCCTGGTTACTTAGCAGTAGGGATGTGGCCCGCTTATTTGCAGCAACTCAACGCTCATGGACCTGTAGATCCCATCAGGCATTTAACCATGCCAAAAGAAAAACTGAGGACAATTCATATCAGATTTCCTTTGGGAAAAACATATTGAGTAGTGCAAAAGCTCAGCTACGAAAATTGGAATAAATTAGAGGCATCATTCAGCCAATTCTCTCAAATTCATTGTGAAAAAAAAACTTAGTCTACCGGTACATATTTATTTGAAGAATGTGCATCCCAAATTCCAGGATTCTTAATAGTTTCGTACACCACTCAGATTGCGAAACGCATAATTTGACTGATTAGATTTGATGAAAAAACGCGCAGATTGTGATGGCTAGTTTAACGGTGCGGTTGAAAGATTATGCATTTAATATACTTAAGTAAACGTGAAGAAGACTGTTGCCCAAACAAAGTCCTAAAATATCAACAGGTAAAGTATAAGCGACTGCCTTTCTTAAGAACTACTAAGAATTGAAATAATTTTCGACACGTTAATTCTGCTAAATAAAGTAGGATTGTGAAAAACAAATCGAGGAAATTAGTTAAGTTTACAGAAATATTAAAAAAAGTGAGTTATTTCCATCTGGAACTTATACAGAGCATTAAGACAATAAAATTTGTCTTCTTAAAATTCAGTTACAATTATAAAATAAGCTTAAAAAAATCCGTTGAGTTTTTCTTGAAATATTTTAATTCTCTGTTACTTTCCTTCCTTAGAGCTTTGTTTACTCTCCCACCGTTAATTTAATGAAATGTAAGGAAGATATTTATAGATTTTCTTCCCAGAGGAGAGTACATATGTACTCACACACACACATCTATGTCAGTTTGCAAGACTTTGAATTATTAATAACTTCCGCTATTCGAAGCTGTACAAAAATGCCAGCAAACTTATATACAAAATTTATAGAATAAAGTAAATATGACAAAACAGATATCGACTTACCGTGCAATAGATGAAGAAAGCGCCCAAGGCAATAACTCGCAATAATGCCGGACTGGCAGCGCGAACAACCTAAAGAAGAAGATAAGATGGAATATAAGCCGACATACATAAATAAATATAATTCGTTAAAATTCAATAAAAATAAACAGATAAATTATATTTATGAAAGCTGTCTTCTTATGTATGTAATAAACCTCTTTATATTTAAGATGTACGAGGTGTGATCAGAAAAAATTGTGTAAAAATTGAAATCAAATGCACAAGGACATTTGAAATGTTGACAGTGGCGTTTGGCGAGTCTACTATGAGCAGAACACAAGTCAATTGTGATGTAACCGGTTTAAGTAAGGCCGAGAATATGTCAATGGCAATACTCGTTCTGGTCGCCCGAGCACGTCAACAACCGGTGAAAACAATGAAGAAGTCAAGAAAAAGATTTTGGATAGTCGTCAAATTACTATCAAAGAGATTGCTGATGATGTTGCCATATCGTTCGGCTCATATGAAGTAATTTTTCGGATGTTTTAGTCAGAAACGTACAAAATTGTGAAAAAAACAATCATGGACTTTGCACCATGAAAACGCACCAGCTCCCACATCGATGCTTCTGCAAGAGTTTTTGGCCAAAAACAAAACCGTTATCTTACCTCAGTCACTGTTTTCACCAGACTTGATCCCCGCTGGTTTTTTTCTCTTCCTAAAACTGAAGGCACCGTTGAATGGAAAGCGTATTTCTTTGATTCGAAACAGAGGCTTTTGGCGATACCAAAAACGCGTTTAAGACGTGTTTCGAGAATTGGAAAAAACGATTACTTTGAAGGGTACAGGATATTTATTGATGCATAAAATAATATTTCTTGAAAAAATTGAAAAAATGGATATTTTCTGATCACATCTCGTATACATGGTAAAAGTATTTATACTGGCTTATGCGTAATATACATGTTTAGATGTCTTTATGTCACATTTAATAACGATATTTTTAACAGCACCAGACGGAAATCCATAAAATTTTGTGTGATTTGCTTTATGATCATGTGTCTGACACATGCATCCTTTGGAGCAACTAAAGCAACTCAATTCGCAGATATCAAAATAAACATATATTCATACTCGTATATATTAAGCTAGAGCCATTGCAAAAATTTCCATTAGAAAATCAATAAGCCAGTAAAATAAAATAATATATATATGATAATAAAATAAGATGTTAAATAAAAAAAAATTAAATGACATAAAAATATAAAATAAAATAAAATAAAATAAAATAAAATAAAATAAAATAAAATAAAATAAAATAAAATAAAATAAAATAAAATAAAATAAAATAAAATAAAATAAAATAAAATAAAATAAAATAAAATAAAATAAAATAAAATAAAATAAATAAAATAAAATAAAATCAAATAAAATCAAATAAAATAAAATAAAATAAAATAAAATAAAATAAAATAAAATAAAATAAAATAAAATAAAATAAATAAAATAAAATAAAATAAAATACATAATTTAAATTAAATAGAATAAAAAAATTATATAAAATGAATAAAAATAAATTGAAGTTAAATAAAAAAAAAACAAATAAAAAATTAAATAAAATTAAAAAGTATATTAAGAAATTAAGTAAATAATATAAAATAAAACAAATTATTAGATAAACTAAATTGAGTAAATTAAGAATATCTTAACAATTTTGAAATCTACTGCATTTGGAGTATTATTATTTAGCCCTACTGTTTGCTACTATACTGCATTAATGCTTCTTAAAATCCACGTAGAAAACACTCAAAATGTTGTTGAAAATAATAAACGTATCAGCGGGATTTTGGTCAACCAACAACATGTGCTAATGTCATAAAAGATACGGAAAACATCTTAGGAACTAAGAGCTATCCGCACTTACATATATATGCTTCAGTATTTGTATGCTGTTTATAGGGTGTTCGATGGGGTCAACCATTGTTGTCGTGGTTTCACATTTCCAATGCAATAAAATCTGTTATTCCCATAAAAATATTCAACCGCACGCATATGAGCTGCCATAAAGCGCCATATGCGAGGCACTCACGCTAATGATTTCGCATTTCCCGTCGTAGACATCGTCGCCGCAACAAGCAAGAGCCAATAGTCTTGAGTCGCCAGCACATTTAAGTTGTCGTCGCAAAGTCATAAAAAATATTTATTTTCCTTACACTTCGTTCGACTTTACTTCATGTACGTTATGAACTCAAAACTGCTGAGCCGCAAAGTAGGTGGCTTGTGGTTCAAACTACGGCTGAGCTCTGTAGCTGACCATTCGCTGGTGGAAGGTGGCTACTAGCTGATGGCCAAGGTAAATATGTTCAATATTAACCAGCCAACAAACATAAGTGGATTTGTGGCTGGCGGTATGGGAGTCCAGAAAGGCTGTCATATAGTCGAAAAACCGAAAACTGGGTGGATGTGGGAGAGAACTGCACTACTGCGAATGGCGCAGCAGTAAAAAGTTTTATGATTTCAGCGCCAAATTTATCTCGTTGGTTGTCATTTCATACATTTTTGGTAGCAGACATTTTATGCGTGGAATGTGCTCTGCACGTTCTCGTAGTTGTTGTACACTAGAGATACTTTTGACGCCACCCATATGCGGGGGTGGTTGGTTGTGGTTATTGATGGATTACACTTACCTTCACTTGTTGATAACGAAATGTAAACCAAGCAGCCGGTGGTAGTAAGCCAATAACGGTGCAGGCCAGAACCAATATACTCGTACGCATCGGCCAATTAAGCGCCGCAATACAAGGCGAACCGTCCTCACAGTAATCACAACCCTCGGCGCAGGGTAGACACTCGTATTCGTTGACTATGTTGTAGGTGGAGTTGCGACCCTGAAAAAATGTTAAATAGTAAAATTTTATATTGAAACAAATGAATCAATAATACATCCTGATGCTAGATTAAAAATTTATATAAAAAAGACCTAGCAAGTTTTTGGCTTAAAGTGCCGAGTCTTGAAAAATAAATGAGATGTAAAGAGGAAACGTGCAAACGGCCGTTACAGCTCATCTCATCTTTGAGGTCTTGTATCAAGGTTGACCTGTTGGCTCCAAAGAAAGAACTCGGTGGACAATAGCGAGTTAGAGATAACACGGTCCGGAAACTATTCCATTAAAAGATCGATAGTTTTGTTGGTTTTGTTGTACCTAGCGCCGTTTTGTTGAAAATAAACGTTGTCCCATTCCAACCAAAAAACATCATTAATCATCTCTCTGTCTATCATTCTTTGAAAAGCAAGGCCAAAAAAACCACCGGACCACAAACCGCTCAAAATTTGCAGCATCAAAAGGGACTTCTACTGGAATAGCAGTATTTTCAAAATAATACCTCTTATTGGAAAACGCAATACTTGGACTTTGTAACCGCTAAAGCCGTTTTCGGTCAAGATTCTTCAGAGAAACTTTTTCATGTAAGAAATACACTCGAAGGAGTTGAAATTCCTTGCCAAAGGGCAGCCGGGATTAGAAAAATCAACTAGTTTTTATTAACTTTCTATAATTTTATAAGTTGATGGGATGATCCGCCCACCATAAACGAGTTATTCATATAAAGGAACGTGTTCAAACTTTCAAAGTCTATTTGTGGTATATTGTGAAAGTCAGTCGCGATTGAGGCGAGCATCGTCTCCACCTCCCTATAGCTTCTCTAACATCTTGCAGCCACCTCTTTTAGGGAGTGGACGCTATATGCACTTTTTACGCCCCATCATAGCCAAGCTTTCCCAGATTTTCGAAACTGTGAGTATTGCATCCCATGGGCAGGGGCCAGAAAACGTACAAAAATTTCGTTTATTAGAAATAGTTGCTTTTTGTCAAGTTCAATGACCACAGCTCACTCTCCCCAATTCAAAGTTGCTTTGTTCCCTTCGGCTGGCATCTCAGTAAATCTACAATAACACAGCTTAATTTCAATACTTCTCGTGTACGAATTCCTGACTTGCATTGTATGTTGCCTTTAACAGAAAGTATTATGCTCTGAGATTTTAAAAGATTTACAGGTCTTTCCTATTATTCACGAAGAGTCTTTACGTAAGACATTAGAACATTATGTGGACTTATTTGATCATTGATTTGAGTTTCTGTGGTCCGAAGAATATAATTCTATTGTATAGATCTGCCAACCCTTCTTTTATAAAATATTTAAACTTTTAAATTTGGCTTGATTTAAAATTTATTTATTTCTGATTGCTACTTTTTAAAGTTGTTGTGAAAAAAATGTGTCAAAGTTCTTTAAAAGCTTTCCAGAGCTTAAGTAAGCTTCAGTTCTACGATAGGTGGTACAGTTAGGGCGCTTTTGTATGCTTTTAAAAAAGTACTGTCGGCTTTCTAAGCCTACTTAGTCAATATTCTTTACCTCTATCGGAATTGGCCACGTTGGAAACAAGCGCTTTAACTCACTTTGGTACAAAAATTCATATTTTTCTTTGAAAGTAAATTAAAATAACTTTTATTGCTTTCACCCCACACATTTTTTCTATAGTATATGAAAGTATATAAAAGGATTTAAATATCTTCAGTGATGACATATTTAAATTGTCCTTAATATTTGCACTTACCAGCATTAACTTTTCATACTCCTCCTCCAGTAGGCTGCCATTGAAAAACTTTTGCGTTGACGTTGTGTCGGGAAAGTAGTAGCCCTTGCGGCAAACACATTTATAGGAGCCTCGACGAAAGCCCAATCCGTTTAGGGCTTCACACTGCGAAGAGAAGATAAAAAAAAGAAAAAAAGCAACTTTTATTACTTCATTTTAATCCTAACTAAGTTTCATAAGTATGTATGTCTGGAAAAGTGTTAGAAAAATTAGTTATTGGACAAAGAAGGTTCATTGAATAGCGTATAAAAATAATTGATGCTTATGAAAAGTTCATCGAGTTAAATAAGTTACTCTGAAGGCTCGTACGAGCTTCAATATTAAATATTCACTTTTAGACTGAGACGAGTGAGATGATAAAATTTTTTTCGCAATTTACATACGTGAGTATATAAATTACGCTTACGATTTGCATTTTTTGAGATTTAATTTATTTTAGTATTAAATACTTGAAATCTCTTTCAGAAGACAAGGGTATGAATTTTAGAGTTCTTTGAAAAAACACAAAAAAACCAACTGCCTGGAAATAATGAAAATATATATTTTTTTAACTAATTATGTCTTTTTTGTTAACGAGGTTCAGTAAGTTCTTTTATGTATGGTGTGATGCTGTGACGTGTTGGTGTGATGTGATGTTTTCATATGATGTTGTGAATTGTTGTGACATATAAATTTTTTTGTTTTTGTTATTGATAAATACGTGTTTATTCCTCAACACGATATTTCCCGAGAAGCAGTAGGCCCTTTTATATATGTATGCATATGATGTCGTGACGTGGTTTAGTGTGATGTGATGTGTTCATATGATGTGATGAATTGTTGTGACATATAAATTTTTTTGTTTTTGTTATTGAAAAATATGTGTTTATTCCTCAACACGATATTTACAGAGAAGCAGTAGGCCCTTTTATATATGTATGCATATGATGTCGTGATGTGGTTTAGTGTTATGTGATGTGTTCATATGATGTGATAAATTGTTGTGACATATAAATTTGTTTGTTTTCGTTATTGATAAATATGTGTTTATTCTTCAACACGATAATTCTAGAGGGACAGCTCTGCGATCTTTATCTGAATTCATAGGTTCGATTTTATGAATATGTATTTACGATGTGATTTCGCTGGGGTGATGTATACATATGATGTGATGAGTTGTTGTGATACAAATTTTTATTTGTTTTTATATAAAAGAAGGTTTTGATATATGAGTGCTCGTCGTATTCCCATTCATCTGTATTAATATTATAAACACTCGCAAGTAAGGACTAACGCAAAAATAATTTCCAAAAGGGCGTTAGGTCAATAACTAAATCACAGGGAACTCGGGCACATTAGACACACCTCTTAAACTCGTTAAAAGGCCGCACAATAGCTGCATATGCGAAAAGCTACTCCTTAACAGCCTCAAGTTCGTTATGTAAATGGATTATTTTCATATAAATATATGTCAAATAAATTGATCCATTCCAGATCGAAAAAACTACACACTAATATGTTTCAATTTGTATTTTTATTTAATAGAAAGTTACAAAAAATTCTTCAAAACTTTAATAACGAAAAAAATAAAACAATACTTTTTTTTTACAACGCATACACGCATACCTATATTTCTTATAATAAAACAATTGTCAAGAGTCGTTTTTTTTTTGCCGTCGCTTCAAAATTTACTGAAAATGAAACACAGCATTATCGTTAAATAATCCTGTTGTACGTTAAGCCGCTGTATGTTGCCACAGACTTCAGCATTTATCTGATTGCACTAGACGATTGCGGTTCTTCTATTAGCTCCTCCTCCGAGCATTTCAAAAGGTCTTCAGTAGTAACCCCTTCATTGTGCTCTGAGCTCAGCAGTGCCATTGCTATCCACCTCAAGCCCAATCTGTTCAGCTAAAGTTATAATTTCAATGCAAATTGGATCAGTGCATATAGCGTCGAGATCTTCAAATGTGCTTTCGGCAAAGTGTCAAGGCCAAAATTTTTTCCAGGAAAATTCAAATTTTCTCTTAGTAACAACACTTAATGCCGTTTTAATAATTTTGAGACTACAATATGAAAGTGATTTTTCCAAATTCCTTTAAAGCGGAATTGGTTTTTTTGGTCTCTCAAAACAATGCTGGAAAAGTTCTTTAGTGTGGAGCTTCTTAAGGTTTGAAATAACTTGTTGATCCATGGACTGAAGCCACTGAAGCAATAGTGTTGTATTAAAAGCAAAAAGTGGGTTTTTATAAATACCAACTCTTCAATGAGATCACTAGGTGGACGTGAAGGAGAGTTATTCATAATAAGCAAGGAGTGAAGAAGCAAATCCTTCTCAATCAAATATTTCGTCACGGAGAGACCAAGCACGTTATTGATGCCGTCAGTAAAAAGATCACGTGTCACCCAAGCTTCACTATTGGACTTCCGCATAACATTTAGCTTGCTCTTGTTGACATTATGCTTTCTGAAGGCACGTGGATGCTCTGAATGTTAAAAAAAGGAGGAGTTTTATTTTTAAGTCGCCGGTTGCATTGGAACACAAAAGTAGAGTAAGGCGGTCTTTCATTGACTTGTAGCCGGGCATTGCTTCCTCCTCTGCTGTTATGTATGTATATGTTCGTTTGCGCATCTTTTTCTAAAAAAAAAAAACCATTGCATCACAATTAAAAATTTGCTGTGGCAAGAACTCAGCAGTATCCATAAGCTTCTTTAATTCACCGACAAAACTTTCCGCTGCTTTATCATCTGAGTTTGATGCCTCTCTACGTCTCATAACATTATGAATTGATATTTCTGGTAACTTTTCAATAAGATTGGTAAAAATAGTTTTAGCTTTCCCACAAATTATATTCAGTGAAATTGGGTCACCTGGCATTTTAGTTAATCGATATCAGAAGCAATCTTTCAGCATTATCCAGCATTTGTGCTCGTTGCGAAGAAATTCTTCTTACTTCTTTTTGCAGCATTAAACACCCCAAGTTTGTCGTTATTCTTAAGGAGAGTAGAAATCGTCGATTTCGATAAGTTGCACCTACGTCCTAAACCAGACACCCCCGAACCTTGTTTATATTTTTCAATGATCCTTAGTACCACCTCGACAGTTATTTTAGCTCCTTTATTTTTCGCTTTCTCCAAACATTTTTTTGAAGACATTTGCGAGTATAATATTTTGTGGTTTTTATAAAAACAAAATTAAAAATAGAAAACTTGCGATTTTTGTTTTAACACACCTTGTAAACTATACGAACACAACTGATGCAATTATGCTCTTGAAACAAAAGATGAACACATATATTAATGTATATTCGCGACCTTCCCTGTTCCGTTGCCATAAACTGAAATTTTATATGCAATTAAGGTTATCCCCTTTATTCGTAGTTAAACAAAACTTTTATTTTATAAAAAAGTGTTTTTTTTTCACAAAAAAAGTGTACGTTAGGCGGGGCGTTCGTCAGCCGATGGTCCACTGTATATTGCAAAAGGACATTCTACATTTTAGGAAATAGTAGACAATATGTCCACCTAGAAAAGTGTTTAAAGATCTGTTCTTTTGGGTATTACAAACCAAAAGGACTCGTGACAATCTTACTTTAAGGCATTAATGCCACTCACTCTACCGAGCGTAAAATATCTTTGTATAACCTAGCGATCTCTATAGCAAAAACTGTACCGTTGAATCACTCGAAAGGCCTTGAAGTTTCCTTCTCTTTCCCTAGACTTGCCGGGAAAACTTCAAAAGAGATTTCATGAAATAAGAGCTATTGTGGATGAATCTCAATAAAAACATACTCAAATATAATATCTCTCTCTATCCGTAAAAACACTTTCAACTTCTCCTTAAAGCATAATTTTCCCCTATAAGAAAATTTCATTAGATCACTAACAGAGTGAATCTAACGACTTGATGCCCCTTTAGCCCTTGAAATGGCCCTGACCACTATTAATTCGCACGGCCAATGTTTTTACGCATATGCAATGTTTAGCACACAATACGAGTATATGTGAAGATAATGCAGATAACACATACAAACATATATTTTTCTGAAAGATAATTTTATTCTCTATTTGATAGAAAAAAAATTTTGTTGTTATTTAACGTACAACAAGAACAGCATTTATTTACATACACTATTCTTATTATTGTTTACAAACGCTTGACCACTATTATTTCGTACACTACAAACTTTACAGTCTATTTGGCTTAATATTATATATATACTTATTATTATAATATTACGAGTAATACTGGGTGGGTGATGTTATTATCTTTCAGAAAAATATATGTTTGTATGTGTTATCTGCATTATCTTCACATATATTGTATGCTAAACATTGCATATGCGTAAAAACACCAGCCGTGCGAATTAATAGTGATCAGGGCTCGTATTAGGTTTTAGAATGAGCTCTGCTTCAGCGACTTGTGGACTTATTCAGATATTTTGCAGTATCTTTATTCTAACACAATTTTTTAGCATGCCCACTGTAAGCTTATATGATTTATTCCAATTAAAAATCAGTTTGCTTAAAGAAATATGAAAAATACTATTGCTTGTCAGTCTAAAAAACAAAAAGGGGAATTAAAAAAATATTTCAAATTCATTTGCATGTATGTATGCATGCATGAATGGTTTGTACTTACCATAGTTGTGCGCTGCTTGCATTTGTCGGTGCCGGCGAAAATATTCAGTGGCTGTGTGGTGCCCGGTGAGTTGCGTTGCGGACACTGATCGATATCTACACGCCGCAAATCGATGTCGATGCCAGATGTACCTCTGCACGTGCGAATGTATTTGATTATTGTGTTATTTTTATTGTTGTTTATTTGTATTTTTTTTTTTTTTTTGCAATTATTTTGAAAAAGTTATTGTGTATTTGTTGTGATTTTCATGGGCGAAAACAATATGTTGGCAATTGTTTTTTAATATTCACACATAAAATTCCAATTTCGTATTTATTCAGTTGCATTTTGTTGGCACAAACGAAGTGACGAGTTATGAAAAAAGGGAATAGAAATGAAATATTTGGATTAGTTTTTAATAAAATTGGTATGATTTTAATTGGCTTGGATAGAGGAGAATTGTTGTGATTGGCATGCCAATAAATCAGCAGGATTTTATATACAACAAAGGTGGAAATATATTTTGTGAAACTTTTGTTTTTTTTTTCATAATTTGCATATTTTTTTAAATTAATTTTGAATTTTGTTAGTCAAATATGTAAATTTTTAATATTCGATTGTATTAATTCCTATCTCATTAAATTATCTCTGTACTAACTGATAGCAATCTCTTTAAAAAATTTTAATATAAATGCAGATTTTTTAAACTTTGAGTTGAAGTTATGAAGATTTTTTTTATCTAAAATAAATTTGATTTTTCGAACAGATCGTACCCTTTTAAAAGCTCGTAATATTCGTATTTTTCAGCTATTTTCAGCGTAAGATGATATTTTGTTTATAAGTTCAAATATATAAATAATATTAATAGATGGCAAACCTTTCTACATCGACATCAAGGTAAATTGAATATAAGAATTTATTAAAATGTGAAAGCTCTGCCAAAAATTTTCGAAATAACATTCCCTAAGGGGTTACATCTAGTAAGAATTTTCAAAAATCGATATTTTTAAATTTCATTTTCGTAAGATGCATACATTCAAGTAAATACTCTGAGAATTTCCAGTCGATTTGAAAATTCTCGACTGTTATTTTAGAAGTTACACACGTATCTCAAAGCGTTAACCGAGATTTTTCGGGAATGTTTTAATCAGATCTCTACACAAGCTTTTGAACAATATTTTCTAAAACCTAAATCATGTTGTTCCATTACCGATGAGGTTTTTTTTGAGTAGCCGAAATTTCGTCAAAAAAAGAAAAAATGAGTTTTGCGTATAATCTACTTCAAGGGGGTAAGCTGGTCCAGAGCGCAAAAAATGGGCATATTTTATGAATTTATTTTGGCTCAACAAAGGAATCAATCCAAAATCTGTGAGCTAGGCTTAATAATATAGGTTTTATGGTACAAATATAAAATTTTTCGTGGGAATTAATTTCAAAACGGCCGCTGTCCAGCATTTCTCCGAAGACGCATTTTTTTCTAATGGGTCCATGATCGAAGATGTAAACTCCTTAATTTTTGTACTGTCCTGTCTATATAACTTCAGCAAGAGACGTAAGTAGGATTTTTTCGATATTTTGTTTTTTCGAGAAATGATGCACGTTTGAGCAAAAAGTTACAATTTTCACTATAAAAACGATATAAAATAATGTAATATAAAGAAAATCCTACGTACGCTTTCGGAGAACGGTATTTCGAATGTACTGTCAAAATTTCGTAATAATCGGTGAAGATTCGTTCAGGTTATGTCTTCGGCCTGCTTAAAAAAAGTGATTTCGAGAAAACATCGTTTAAAGTTGTAGGTCGCTCGGGGCATGCCTGCGAAGCATTGCCGTCGAATGAAAAAATTGGGCATTTAGACATTTTTTCCGGCATCCATCTTTTGGTATGTTATTTCTAAGACCCTATAGTACTTTTAAGTTTTTCTTCGATTTTTTTAAAATTCTAGACCAGCTTCCCCTCTTAACCAAGTACGTTTGATTTCTACATTCACTTTCACAGATTATTCACTTCACTTTGTTAAAAGTCCCTGGATATCTACTGTAATAGATTGAAAAACTGTTATTTTGTAAATAAAAATTTCAAAAGTACCATAATAACAGAACAAATGCTAAAATAATAAAGCTAAAAGTTTCCTCGGGAAAAATGTTTGAAAACCCTATTTTTTAGTGCTTCTAACCAGATGTAACCCCTTAAATACTGGTATGTTCGGTGAACTCAGCCTGTTGCGCACAGCTGAACAAGTGACCTTTGACAAAATGTGGGATAACTTTGAAAAGTTATGAGGCTGTTCTTTTCGTGGTTTATAAAGTCCAGGACTGCATTTTGACTTGATGTCAACGACGACTTCCTGGACCTTTTTAGGTAGGTCCTAATCGTGTTTGCTATACAAAGTAGATTGGTATGTTGATGCCCCTTTTGAAGTGAAGACGTCATTTCGTGTGTAACTTTAACTCCATTACTCTCATCTAAGTTCATCAAATCTAGTGCTTGGCGTATGTGCTGCAGAAAAGGCAGATGCTAATTTTAGTTCGATCCAATCGCCAAAAATTCTTTCCATTTATGTCAGCTTGAAAGAACTGACCGGTTTTTATACTTAGAGAGTTATTTGGAGAAAAAAGCAATTTCGACCTATTCGGCGGAGAAGGTCACAGATTTTGTAACTTTTGGAGCGGGAAATTTCTATAAGGTCTTAAAAAATAAATTAGTTCCGTGGAAACTAAAAGTTTTTCTCCTCCAGAGCGTGACAGTGTAATTCCGATTACCTGGAATACTGCCTTCCGGAAAACAGACCGAGATATTTTAAAGAAGTAAACGTGGATTATTTTCTTTTGAAAAAAATTATTAGCCAATGGAAGTTTCTAAAAATCTTGAAATTTTGTATCTTTTTTTGGTAAAACGGCTAAAGAAGGGAAAAGGAATTATTGTGTGCTTCGATAACGAATTATCTAAGCTTGAGTGGTTAGAGCGAAAGGTTGCTTATGGACTAGAGAATATGTTAGTAAACATTTTCCCAGAACTTATTAATTGAGTTCTATGGCTTTTGTAGGACCTCAGTTTATGAGCTCCATAAGGAGAACTATCGGTGAAGTGGGATGACTTTTCCACCCATCCGTGAAGATTGTTGTGTGTTCCATGGTGAGTCGAGTGCAGTGGCTCTCAAAAATCAATTTAGAGTTTGGCAAGTTTCAGCAGTGCTTGATGCTGAAAGACATCTAAGATTATAAACGCATAGGCTTCCGAATAAGAGGCTTCCCGATCGTTTTCCTTATCGAAAACCAAACTCTACAAGTTGCTCATCATACCCGTTCTACTATATGGCGCAGAGGCGCGGACGATGTCAACAGCTGATGAGTCGGCTTTCTGAGTCTTCGAGAGAAAAGTTTCGCGAACGATTTATGGTCCTTTGAGCATTGGCAACGGCGAATACTGGCTAGGTCATGTGGTCCGAATACATGAAATCACTCCAGCTTTGAAAGTACTCTACTCGCCGATGGAAACAGAGAAACAGTAAGACTTCCACCCCGTTGGAAAGACCATTTAGAGAGTGACCTGGCCTCACTTGGTATTTCTAACTGTCTCCAAACAGTAGGAAGAAGAGCTGAATGTCGCGCTATAATTAATTTGGCTATCATCGCTTAATCGGTGCCAACGAAAATGAAGAAGATTCAGAGATCGTGGTACAACTTAGGGCAGCAGTCATTTGCTGCCGATTACAACCTAGCCTTTAGTGAACTAAGATGGCTTCAATCCATTTTTTGTGCCCTATTTCCATTAAATGTGATTTTAGTTGGAATTTTCAGAAAAACGAAAAAATTATACAATCCGATTTTATTATTCGAAATAATATTTTTTTCACTAATTTCCATTCCATTCTCATAACCCCTTTAGCTTTAGCAAAAGTATAAACTTTACTGACAATAAACAAATTCGTTTAAAATTGTACGTGTTGATTATCATTTTTCAGCATTGTTTTACTAATCCTAAATTGACGTAATGATGATGTGCCAAAAATTTGTGAGCTCACATCGTGCATCCATTCCATCAAAAGAAAGTCAAAAGAAAAGAAGAAAGAAAAAATGGCAAGCCATTACTTAAATGCTGCCGTAAATCCTTTATAGGCATGTAATCCTTTGAAACAAAGAGTAATCCAATTGGCCATAGTAATAAGCTTCAGCTACCCTTCGAAGGTCAGATCAGTCCGGTGGTGTTGCGTACCAATACTGCTTCATTTTCAAGCTGGTTAAACAAGTCTTTGAAAGGTTCAAATATTTTTCATTTCTTTATTTTTAGATTTTTTTATTTCTCTTCTTATTATTTTTTTTCAGCCTGCAAATTTCGCAAATTAACTGCATTTCCTTTTCATCATCGTTGATCCTTACTTAGCTCTCCGTAATTTTTTTTTATTTATGTACATATATATTGGCCAGAACAATACAAGAAGGAAATAAATCAATAGAAATCAAATACAATATGAGCCGCAAAAAGAACTCAGCCATTATTGAACCTTTGCCAACATATGTGCATATATTTTTCCACTGATTGGCGTATGTCGATGAGTTAGTGTGTGGCATTAACATAAGGCTCAATGGGCTGACAGGCCGCATCAAGGCCTTAAAGAAAATCTAAACAGATATTTTTTATTTGCTCGACAGGCCAGTGAAAGGCTAAGTTAGTATTAAAGAAATCACAATAACACAAAATACCGTTATGTCAACAAAGTGGAGGCAACATCAAAGCAAGGACATGCATTGAAAAGCGTCAACCGTGAAACCGTGAAAAAGGTTCAAAAGTAAGTAGAAAAAAATCAAGCGACGAAACCTGAGAAAAGAATAAGAAAAATATATAAATAAAAATACTTCTACTTAAGTAAATAAAGATATATGTATATTAAATGTATTATGTATATATATATACATACATAAAAAGAAATTATTACATACCCAAAAGTGTATCCATGAAAATGTAAGAATGAATCAAGGAATGCAAACAAAGCCGCACAACAAAGCAAAAAAGTGAAAAGAGAAATAACAATGCTAAGGGTAAACAAGTCAATAGACTTGCCAATTTCGCACGTTCTCAGACACACAAATAATCACGCACACATATTCATACAGGCATAAGACTACTACTTAAAAGCGTTGACATGTACATAT